TTGTCCTCATGAGTGCAGATTCTTGCCAGCTGGCCTGCTATTGTACAGCAGTGTTACTAGCTCTCAGAATTACTAGTACTAGCCTGTACAAATGTGCTTTTGACTCATGATTATTTGCGCTATTAGATTTGCCTATAATCTTTGTTATTAGGGCTGTGATGGTAGCAGTTAGCTGGGGCTGTTTTAAGCACTCCATCCTCATCTCATTAAATGCTGTGCACTCCAGATCATCTCAGTGCATGGTTTGTCTGGGTTAATCACACTATCCCGTTGTCTGCACCCCCTTGTTTTGCTCACGGCCCCCTGCTACTTGTAGCCCAGCCAGATATTCAGACATACATCCTGGAGGAGCTCAGCCTGAATGTCTGCTGAAATTGGTTGTGTTGTCTGTTCCAAATAATCATAATGAATAAAAAACATAATGCTGAATTGAAGTGATATACAGTGACCGTTTCCTTATAAAGAACTTCACTTCTGTACATACTTTCTTTATGGAGAGGAAAAGGATTTCAGGCTTCTGCGATGACTGAGATTCATAAAGAATTTAACAATTCTGGTTCGTATTCCTCTTAACGATTCCAGCTTCATTAACGGTAAATAAAACTCACTTCGCATGTGAAACTCATTTGCGAAATCACCACCAAGTGGCGCAAAGGGACGGTTGGCACCACTGCTCAAAGCTGGAACTGTGACATTTTTACTTATAAAGATATCAAATAATGAAATAAACCAGTAATATTACAGTAATAGGCTAATAAAGCATTATAACATTTAATCTTGAATAATTCATGAGATAAATGTTTAATGTTCCAGCTACTTGACCATTGTTGCGTGAAATATTACAGTGACAGAAAAATTATCTGCATGATGCCACTGATTATTTTTATTATTTTGAAGTGAGAAATGAATAGCGTGTCTCTCTGGCGTGTGCAAACATGTTACTGGAAAAGGGAACAGATGGGTTTTTAGAGTTATCAAGGACGGGGGTTCAAATCACAAACGATTTTGTAACTATTAAATATATAAATAGAGATTTGTGTGTATTCTGCAGTTCTAAAACACACTGGTTTGTTACACCGGTTTTTTTCTTTTAGCTATTGCATGTCAGTTTGTTTTACACTGAGAAACAACTATTCAAACAACTGCTTCATTTTGTTTTGTTTCATGAGAGATGCGGCGCGTCCGCGAGAGAGACAGAAAATGGCAGAAAGAAATGTGTGTCTGTGAGAGAGACAGAAACCTTTGTTCCAAATTTATGCTATGCTGCTTTGTACTATTTTCATTTTGCACTGTTTTAATTGTGCACGGCAATGTTGCAGTTCCTTTGGCATTACAAATGTAAAAGCATATTGCAGTAATAAGAATGCTGTATTTCTCATTTTACATCAAATCTCGCAGAGAATACATGCAAACCTGTAATTAAACTGTCATCAGTTTTAGTTTCAGTATTCTTCTTTAAAAAATGTCATTTATATTTAGAAAACAATATTATTTAGTTATTTTTTTAGTTATAGCCATTTGAGTTTTAACCTCTAATAGCCTACTAAAGCTACTTATTAACTGAGATTAATAATATAGATATATAGAACTGATATATTGTTTGCATAAGGTATGCAGCATTCTCACATTAATAGATAAATATATTTCTATAGTTGTTATAGGAAAAAATTTTCAGAGGCCTTTTAAATGTATACCAAACACCTTTTTTTTTTTTTTTTCTCCTGCACATGTTAAAATGTACTATTTTTGTTGATATGGTTATCAATAATACATTTCGATAATGTAGCGGATTCACTCCTGCATTTAAATGCAGCTGCATGATAAATAAATATTTTACTCAAATCTTAAAGGGATAGTTCACCCAAAAATTCTATCATTAATTATTCGCCCTCATGTCGTTCCAAACCCGTAAGATCTTTGTTCATCTTTGGAACACAAATTAAGATATTTTTGATCAAATCCGAGAGCTCTCTGACCCTCCTATAGACAGCAAGGTAACTACCACAGTCAAGGCACAGAAACATAGCAAGGACATCCTTAAAATGGTCCATGTAACATCAGTGGTTCAAATGTAATTTTACAAAGTTACGAGAATACATTTTGTGCGCAAAGAAATAAAAAAATAACGACTTTATTCAACAATTCTTCTCCCCCGAGTTACCATCTACCGCCATTATTGAGAGTAACACGATGCATGCGCGTGATGCTGCTGACGTAGAACACCTATGCGCTGCGCCTTGTTTATGAGCAGAGGAAAGCACGCGCATGCATCATGTTACTGAGAAGAATTGAGTAAAGCCGTTATAGCTTCATAAAATTAAGTTTGGACCACTGATGTCACATTGACACTTTTGTCGATGTTCTTGGTACCTTTCTGGGCCTTGAACGTGGTGGTTACCTTGCTGTCTATGGAGGGTCAGAAAGCTCTCCGATCTCATCAAAAATATCTTAAGTTGTGTTCCAAAGATGAACGATGGTCTTACAGGTTTGGAACGACATGAGGGTGAGTAATGTAAGAATTTTCATTTTTGGGTGAACCATCCCTTTAAATGTATTGTACGAAAGCGAATAAAGAAGGCCCCTTTTAAAATCACTGATGTTGTCAATTATTTAAGTATAATTAATTAAGCTAACTGCACTATGATTTTCTTATTTACATTCTGTGTGCACTTTGTTGATTATAATTTTCATGAGAGATGCGGCGCGTCCGCGAGAGAGACAGAAAATGGCAGAAAGAAATGTGTGTCTGTGAGAGAGACAGAAACCTTTGTTCCAAATTTATGCTATGCTGCTTTGTACTATTTTCATTTTGCACTGTTTTAATTGTGCACGGCAATGTTGCAGTTCCTTTGGCATTACAAATGTAAAAGCATATTGCAGTAATAAGAATGCTGTATTTCTCATTTTACATCAAATCTCGCAGAGAATACATGCAAACCTGTAATTAAACTGTCATCAGTTTTAGTTTCAGTATTCTTCTTTAAAAAATGTCATTTATATTTAGAAAACAATATTATTTAGTTATTTTTTTAGTTATAGCCATTTGAGTTTTAACCTCTAATAGCCTACTAAAGCTACTTATTAACTGAGATTAATAATATAGATATATAGAACTGATATATTGTTTGCATAAGGTATGCAGCATTCTCACATTAATAGATAAATATATTTCTATAGTTGTTATAGGAAAAAATTTTCAGAGGCCTTTTAAATGTATACCAAACACCTTTTTTTTTTTTTTTCTCCTGCACATGTTAAAATGTACTATTTTTGTTGATATGGTTATCAATAATACATTTCGATAATGTAGCGGATTCACTCCTGCATTTAAATGCAGCTGCATGATAAATAAATATTTTACTCAAATCTTAAAGGGATAGTTCACCCAAAAATTCTATCATTAATTATTCGCCCTCATGTCGTTCCAAACCCGTAAGATCTTTGTTCATCTTTGGAACACAAATTAAGATATTTTTGATCAAATCCGAGAGCTCTCTGACCCTCCTATAGACAGCAAGGTAACTACCACAGTCAAGGCACAGAAACATAGCAAGGACATCCTTAAAATGGTCCATGTAACATCAGTGGTTCAAATGTAATTTTACAAAGTTACGAGAATACATTTTGTGCGCAAAGAAATAAAAAAATAACGACTTTATTCAACAATTCTTCTCCCCCGAGTTACCATCTACCGCCATTATTGAGAGTAACACGATGCATGCGCGTGATGCTGCTGACGTAGAACACCTATGCGCTGCGCCTTGTTTATGAGCAGAGGAAAGCACGCGCATGCATCATGTTACTGAGAAGAATTGAGTAAAGCCGTTATAGCTTCATAAAATTAAGTTTGGACCACTGATGTCACATTGACACTTTTGTCGATGTTCTTGGTACCTTTCTGGGCCTTGAACGTGGTGGTTACCTTGCTGTCTATGGAGGGTCAGAAAGCTCTCCGATCTCATCAAAAATATCTTAAGTTGTGTTCCAAAGATGAACGATGGTCTTACAGGTTTGGAACGACATGAGGGTGAGTAATGTAAGAATTTTCATTTTTGGGTGAACCATCCCTTTAAATGTATTGTACGAAAGCGAATAAAGAAGGCCCCTTTTAAAATCACTGATGTTGTCAATTATTTAAGTATAATTAATTAAGCTAACTGCACTATGATTTTCTTATTTACATTCTGTGTGCACTTTGTTGATTATAATTAGAGAACCTGTGAGTTTAATCGTGAGGACGTTTTATTAATCCATCCCTTCTTTTCATGTTTCATTGAATTGGCTAAATCGTGGCCAGGTTTTGTTTGTTTGTTTGTTGTTTTAGTTAAATAATGGAAACTAAATAATACAGTGCTCACGTTTTACTAAAATAAATGAAGGATTTAATAAAAATATGCAATGATTTCTTAATTCATGGAAGGATATCTTTTCCCCACGTCATGTAGTTCTCTGTCAAAATAAAGAGCAGATAACAAATAACACGCAGAAATGCATGCTGTTTTATTAAAGGAATTTTAAAATATAAATAAAAAAAATTGTATTTGTGACAAATTAAGTCATGTGAAAATATTGACATTTAGTAGCCTATATAAATCCATATTGAACAGGCTGCCACTTTTATTGCTCCAATGCAAAGTTAACCACCTATTCTTTATTTAAGATAATATAGCATGATTTTTACTGGTTTGCTGATTTGCACTTTATTCATATTACAATATATTACAGTTTTACAAACAAGCTCACTGAAATGCTAACAGCTCTGATTTTGCTGGCACTAAAAGAGTGGGATATGAGTTTTATGTAATCTTCTTGTTTGGACTGAAACAGAGACGAGGCTCACAGAGGTGCCTTTGTTTAAAGTCCAAATGAGAGCAGGAAGAAAGTGAACATCAGGTTACTTATAGTTTTAGCCTTTGATATTTCCCGCTTGTGTTAACAACACTTATCAATGTCTGTGTAAATGATTAATTCATTTTTTTCTTTTTAATCTTTTCTTGTAGAGGTCGTCTGCTTCATGGCCGACATTTCACTTATAAAAGCATTAATGGAGACACGGCAATCACCTTCGTATCCACTGGGGTAGAAGGGGCCTTTGCCACAGATGAGCATCCGTATGCTGCGCATGGACCATGGCTACAGGTAACAGTCATGCATTACTATTACATCCCTTGAAGGAATAGTTCACCCAAAATTGAAAATTTGCTGAACATTTACTCACCCTCAGGCCATCCAAGATGTAAATGAGTTTGTTTCTTCATCTGAACAGATTTAGAGAAATTTTGCATCACATCACTTGCTCACCAATGGATCCTCTGCAGTGAATGGGTGCCATCAGAAAGAGAGTCTAAACAGCTGATAAAAACATAACAATAATCCACACGACTCCAGTCTTCTCAATTAACGTCTTGTGCTGCGAAAAGTCAAGATGCCTCCAGCTAAAATACAAGTCCTCTATCCGTAATATTGCTTTCTCCAGTGAAGCCCATTCACAGATTCATTGGTGAGCAAATTATGTAATGTTAAACTTCTCCAAATCTTCCATCCAAGACAATCTTCTCCAATCGTCTTGGATGGCCTGGTGGTGAGTGAATTTTCAGCAAATTTTCATTTTTGGGTGAACGATTTCTTTAAAGTTCAGTGTCATTCCATGTGTGTGGGACTTCTGATCTCCTCAATTTAGATACTACTTACTGAGGAGTTTGTAGAGCAGATGCTAGCCGACATTCAGGATTTGAGCACACGTGAAGTGGTAGGATTTTACACCTCCCCTTAAAATGTTTAACTGATTTGATAAACTATTGAATGTTTTTAACACGCTGTATATCTCTTTACCCTCTCACCCAGTCTAAGCTGCCGAAGGAGTACAGCTGGCCCGATAAGAAGCTAAAGATCTCTGTCCTGCCAGACACCGTGTTTGACAGCCCACTGCAGTAAGACTGGGAGCTCACTGTCCCTAATTACAAACCCACAACTACAGAAAAGCTCAACTCTTTTGCCTGGCTCATGTGCCTAGAGAGACCGCTGAAGGAAAGAGACGTTCAGACACTTCCCCTTTTCCCAGAGAGCATCGTAGATAATTGCACATGGCATAGAACATTTTTTAAATATACAACATTTTGAATTGTCAGTTATACCACTTGTCTTTGCATTGGTCTACCTATTCACTCTTAAAGGGTTAGTTCAGCCAAAAATGACAATTTTGTCATTAATTACTCACCCTCATGTCGTTCCAAACCTGTAAGACCTCCGTTCATCTTCGGAACACAAATTCAGATATTTTTGAAGGAATCTGAGAGCTCTCTGACCCTTCCATAGACGGCAAGGGTACTTACACAATCAAGGTCCAGAAACATAGCAAGGAGATTGGTAAAATAATCCATGTGACATCAGGGGTTCAACTGTCATTTTACGAAGCTACGAGAATACTTTGCGTGCAAAAGAAAAAAAAAACCAATTTATTCAACAATTCGTCTCCTCCGCATCACCTTAGCGCCATTTTGGAGAGTATCCACTGAACGTAAATTGCATATGTTGTTCTGTGCCAGCTGTGCCACGCGGATCCTCTGTTTACGTCGTTTATGCTTTGATTTGAATGGAAACAACGTATCCGCGTGGCACAGCTGACTCTTTTGCACTCAAAGTATTCTCGTAGCTTCTTAAAATGACGGTTGAACCACTGATGTCACATGGATTATTTTACCAATCTCCTTGCTATGTTTCTGGACGTTGATCGTGTAAGGACCTTTGCTGTCTATGGGAGGGTCAGAGAGCTCTCAGATTCCTTCAAAAATATCTGAATTTGTGTTCCGAAGATGAACGGAGGTCTTACAGGTTTGGAACGACATGAGGGTGAGTAATTAATGACAGAATTTTAATTTTTGGGTGAACTATCCCTTTAAGGAAAAAATAGTGTTTGATGTTTTTGTTTTTCTGGTCTTGGCCTCAAAAAACATTTTTCCTGTTGAATGTTTAGCAGCACAAGACAATGTGCAAGCACTGGTGCCTTTATTCACCTTAGAATGGACTGAAGTTTCATTTTAAAAGAAAATTAGTTTTTTTCTAAATCCTGCTTGTAATGTGAAGGTAAGCATACAAAGGAATATGCCTTTGTTTATCCAAAAAAAAAAACTTGAGTCAGAGTAGCTGGTTTTATTGATTTGCTTGATATAAAAATAGCTGTACCTATTTAAGGTTGATGAAATTTCATAAGGTCTTCATTTAGTTGTCAAACAATAGGTGGTTAGTTAGTTCACCTACACAATGCCAAAGCTTGTACAGAATGGGTGTTTTCTAAAGTTGAGAAGCACGAAATCGTTCCCTGATCTTTCTTTTATTTTTGTTAACTATTTTACTTCTATTGAACTTCATTTTATTTGACTTTATGATTTTGTTCCAAGCCTCTTTATAGGGAAGCAAACTAACTGGTTCCTGGACAGCAATCTATTTTGTAGAATGTGCATTTGTTATTTTTGGGTTATGTGCTCAATAATATAGGTCAAAGTGTAAAAAAGAACCTCTATTAGTGCTTTTTGAAAGATGAATTTAATTAGTGTACTGGCATTTTTATATTCTGGAGAATCACTACACTGCCTGTGGTTTTGTTACCCTAAAGTGCATTAAAGTTATTTACATAAATCAGGGTGTTTGTGTTTATTTTGGTTAAACAACCTGAAAAAAAATGCTGAAAAATTGCCATGACAACCAGGCACTGAAATTCCTCAAAGAACCAACAGGTCTGCCTCTGACCAGAATTATAAGCCCTGTATCTTAATGCTGTCTCTTTAAGATTCCAATATAAATGCTCTCTTTGCATTTGAAATAATAAAGGCATCCTGGTGGGCTGTTGTGATGCTAGATGGTAGATTCAAACACAGCTGATTAAGTTCTAAAACCCAGAAGAGAATTAGCATTATCAAGCAAAGTTCGTTTCGTTGTGAAAGCTCAACTACTTTGTTTGGCCTTCCAAAAGAGACGATATCTGCTTTGTCATGCCTAGAGCTGATCCGTGCTGGTCGCTGAGGACATACTTCAACTTAGCTGTGGATCACTGGATCAGCTTTCACCGTGGACGAAGCGGAGGCCAGCCCGGGGTCGTCACATTGGGTTGCCGCAAGCCCGCCTGCCGCTCCTTCGTCGAATCTGCTGGCCGCGCTGTTCTCAAGCCCACCGGCCGTTCCTCACTCTAGCCGCCGTGTGTGATGCTGTGTGTTTCGTTGTGAAAGCGAAACTACTTTGTTTGGCCTTCCAAAAGAGGACACGACTAGAAATCAGTGGTTAAGTTGTATTTACAACACTGTTCCAGAACAGTTCAACCCAAATATTCAGATGTGTGCAGCGCATTTTATGGAGGACTGTTTCCTGATCCTGGGAGAGTAGACTGCAATGCCGGCTGTTCTGACTCACAGACTGTAAGTAAGTTTTTTTATATTTAAAGAATTTGCCACTGATGATTCAAACGCGAGTTTTGAGCAGTGTAGAGTAGCGCTTGTAGTTTTGTCATTTCTCCGGTTTTGTTTACGCGGCGCGATGCAATGCAACGAGTAAAAAGACCGTATAAGTCATTATAATCCGTAATTATGTCCCCACTGGATGCAAAAATGCCTCGTTTATAATGGGTTTTAATGTTTTTGTCTCGTCGCTCCGGCCGGACAGGGCATCACAATATGGTAAGGGACGTAACATTTCTGCTGATAGCTGGCCAATCAGCGCAAACCTCGCTTTTCAGACCGATGAGCTTTGTAACTGTGCGTTCACACCGCCGGCGGCGAGAGCGTCAAAATTCGCTCTGGCTGCCCTATAGACGCTCCACGATCGGTCTTTATTTAAAGGGGCCGCAAACATACCAAACAAGCGTTCTGATCTTGTGCAGACTTACCGACTCCTCAAACCTGAATTCTGAACCAGCTGTTCTTAAAAAGGTAAGTTGCTAAATAAATATTTTAGTTTTTTCCTCTAAATAAATGTAATTGCTCGTTCCTGTACTTAAACACTTAGTAAGCCATCGCTATTGATAAAAGCGGCTTATTTACTGGCGAGAATCCGAGGTTGAGCGTTTGACAGCTCACAAAAAATAAAAAATAAAGGTGTGTTCCTTTAAATCAGACCCCGCCCCTGATTAATAACTCCACCCACTTTTATGTATGACCTCCGCGCTGATCACGTGACCAGGGAAGGGGGAGTATGTGAACTGTATCCTGAGTTGCAGTCCTGTGCCTGCATTCCTCTCATCTAGGATTAGCTTGAAAGGGGGGAAATATTGCTCTCGCCGCCGGCGGTGTGAATGCACAGTAAAAATCGATGCCTTTCAGAAGGCGGGGCATAGAGGAGAAACAATAATATACAGTATGTGGAAAATAATGTGTTTTTTAACTTTAAACCGCATAAACACATTTCATTACACCAAATACACAAAATAATGTTCTTTTTTAGCAGCATCATATGACCCCTTTAAGAGACTTACTATTGTAAATTACATGCACGGACTCCTCAAACCTGAATTCTGAACCAGCTGTTCTTAAAAAGGTAAGTTGCTAAATAAATATTTTAGTTTTTTCCTCTAAATAAATGTAATTGCTCGTTCCTGTATTTAAACACTTATTAAGCCATCGCTATTGATAAAAGCGGCTTATTTACTGGCGAGAATCCGAGGTTGAGCGTTTGACAGCTCACAAAAAAAAAAAAACTAAAGGTGTGTTCCTTTAAATCAGACCCCGCCCCTGATTAATAACTCCACCCACTTTTATGTATGACCTCCGCGCTGATCACGTGACCAGGGAAGGGGGAGTATGTGAACTGTATCCTGAGTTGCAGTCCTGTGCCTGCATTCCTCTCATCTAGGATTAGCTTGAAAGGGGGGAAATATCGTAAATAATAACAGACGCAGATTGGAATACGGCGCTGAAGCATCTGTTTTCAATCAGGACTAACATTTTAAAGGGCGTGAAATCCCTGGGTGACCGCAGAACTGGATCTTTTTTGCTTTACGTGAGCCGTCTATATAAAGGACATACAAACGAGAGGAAAAGTAAACAGATACGTCGTTTTTAATTCGCGTTAAACAGGAAAACAAGATGGCTGATGAGCGATAACAAGGGCCAAACGATATCGTCTCCTTTAAGAGCAACAAAGGTATCTGGCTTTAATACATTAATATTTTAGGCGAGTTCGCGTCGTCAAAATAAAATCCATGACATTAGGCTGTAAAAATGAATGCGATCCGTCTCTGGTAAGTGCGGCCAGGTAAACATCAGGCGAAACATGGACAGGGATCAGGTTGAGGATCATTCTGTAATGTTTAACCAACACAGATAGCGAGAGAATAGCTTTGATAATGATAAAACCGCGGCTCTTTGTGGTTTAATGCTACGAGGGCATGTTGCCATACATGTATGCGCGTCAAGTCGTGTCACTATAATAGATAAAATAGTCTTTCTAGTTCTACCGGCTGCCTCTCTTATCGTTGCAGGGGACAGAAATCCTATCGATATAGTGTTACACGAGCAGCACAGAGGCTCAGGTCTACTTTATTATAATTCCAGCAGGGCAAATGTCATGTGCCCTGGGCACAACTCAAACGCGTGATCGGCTGCTTCAGTGGATGACTGTAGGTTACAGCTGCGTACGAAAGGACGTTTTCAGCGCACCCTTTTCCTGTTTTAAACTCCGCAAAATACGATATGCTTCCGACGATAAAGCACTTTCATGTGGACTTAACGGATCTTATCTGGACTGACACTGTAGCCTTTAACTAGTAGTTTAGTTATCTTTCAGCGGATAGTCGGGCATCTGTCTGGCTCTGGGGTTTGATTTGGGGCCATAATTGGAAATACACTGATAATTGGTTTGACCGATACTTTTTTTGAACACATATTCAAGCTTCTACTCGCTTATTTTGACCGATAAATGGCTTAATTTACGGTGTCTCTGAAGAATAGCGTCCAATAACGGCATTTACAGGTAAAGTAACTATTTGTAATGTATTGCTTGGATATTTTTTTTTAAATAATAATCATTCAGAAGGGAGAAATGTGTAGCCCAACACAAAGACACAAGTAAATGTGCCACTATTTGGATCACAAACAACTTTGCATACATTAAATTATTATTATTATTATTATTGTGGTAATAAACTATTCATACTGCGTATTATGCTTTTATTTAGTTCGCAGACTGTCAAAAGCTATTACAGATCGGATATAAAGTTCGTAAAACTAACACCGTGGTTAT